GCAGCCAGGGGTATAGCTCAGCAGCACCAGCACCTGCCTGGCAAGCGTGAGGTCCTGAGTTCAATTTCCGGTTACCCCCTAACCAAAAAAAACTACAAGTCTTATACTTGGTTAACTGAAGGTGAGCAGGGAGAATGATGGTAATCAGAGAAGCATGACAAAGAGCCAGTCTTGTAAGGCAGGAACAATTTAATTTTTATAACGAATCTGACATTGAGGTAGCAGCTTTGTGAAGGATGCACACATATGGATTGAGCAAAAGGCAGGGAAGCTAGGGGTCATGTGTCCGGTGTCTGCTGTGCTTGCGTCTTAGTCCATTTTGTGCTGCTATAAGAGAATACAGACTGGGTAACTTAGAAGGAACAGAAATGTGTTGGCTGATGGTTCTGGAGGCTGGGAAGTCCAAGATCAAGGGGCCACATCAGGAAAGGGCCTTCTTATTGTCTTCCCTGGTGGAAGGGTAGGAAGGGTGAGGGGGTGAACTAAACCCATTCTTTTAGAAGGAACCCACTCCCAAATACCATGGTACTGTGACAGCCTTGATCCATTCCTGAGAGCAGCGCCCCATGACCCAAACACCTTTCTTTATGCCCCACCTGCCAACACATTCAAACCACAGCTCTGTCTGTGTATGTGTAAACTATGCATGTGAGTACAAAGGTATTGGGAAAGTACCTATCTACAGACCTACATAAAAAGGATAAAAAAGAAATAAGAATAGTCCACAAAGGTAGGAAAAGACTAAGGACTGTGCATTTCCAAAAACCTAAGAATTGTAAGAGGGTGTGAGCATTGTGAAATGCTGCAGAGAAGTGAGACGGTAGGTCTGAAGAGCCTCATGATATTGGCAGATTATTGCTTATATTTGAAAAGAGAGCCACAGAGTAAAAGACAAATGGGACAGGTTAGAGAATAGGGAAGTGTTGAGAAGGCAATGAAAGCTGCCAAAGAAACTGTGCCAATAGGTTTGGTGAAAAGTGTCATTTCAGGGACTAGTAAGTTTGATTCTAGAGTTCTAGAGTTAATGTGAAAGGAACAGACCACATGCATCCTCTTGCTCATAAGTGTAGCACACGTGATTCACAAGTCACACCTGTTTTTCCCTTAGCCATTGGAGAACTGATTCTGTAGTTGAGTCCTGGATGAGGTGGTTGGTATTTAAGGCCCATGTTCTTAGAGAAATATGTCATTGGGCTATGACTGTAAGGTAGAAAGCAAGTGGGGACTGTGACCCCTGAAGGAACAGCACTTGGCCGTCTCTCCCTCTTGCTTTTGAGCAGAGGTCTGGTCACTTGTAGGTGGTGTCAACACTGTCTCCTGCTGCTGCCCTCCTCAATGCTGGCACTGCCCACCGTCCTTGGCACTGTCAGGTACATTAAGTGCATGTGTGGTAGGAAGGAATGGAGGTTGATTTGTTGAGGGCAATTCTGGGTACTTTTTTTTTTAAAGCTTTTTTTTTTTGGTTTTTGTTTTTTTCCCGGTACCAGGAATCAAACTCATGACCTTGCGCTTGCCAGGCAAGCGCTGTGGTGCTGAGCTAAATCCCCGGCCCCTTCTTTTTTTTTTTTGAGACAGGGTCTGACTATGGAGTTCAGGCTGGCCTTGAATTCACTACATGGTCTGGGCTGGCCTCGAACTCACAGCAATCTTCCTGCCCCAACCTCCTGAGCGCTGGGATTACAGATGTATACCACACACCCAGCAGATTATGGATACCTCTAATAGAGATGTGGACTACCATCCGAGAGAACTGTAAGATTTAAGAATAGATTCAAAATATTTATTGAATGAACCTGACATTAGCTAGAATTTGTAGTATATTTGGGCAGGAAGAGGCATAGCTGTGAAAGTGATGCAGGTAGAACCAGCAGGATCTGTTCTTGCAAGGGTCAGGCTCAGTGATGACTGTGTGGTAGGACCCCACAAGAAGTGTGTTAGGGAGTGAGATGTAGGTTCTTTCAAGGGCTGTGTGAGGAAAGAGTGGTCTTTGCCTGGGAGGAGATATTGTGATCTTTGCTTTTTTAAATAAATGATGAAGTTGTTGAACAGTCTGCATTGGAATTGGTGGTGGTGTTTCTTAAAAACAAATGCTCCTGTGCCTCATAACTCTGAAACCTGGCAATGCTAAGTGAGTGTGGGACCCCACCATTTGCATTGGGTATGTGCTCCAGCTTGTCTTAAACACAGTGGTGTTTAACAGTCATCACTGCAGGAGTGTTCCCCACTGCTTTCTGGGGTCCAGAACCAGTATCATTCATATGTATCTTAGAGTTAACACATAGAAGACTCTCATGAAATAGTCCAAGTTACAGAGCCTGCATAAAGGTACCTTTGTGGTCGTTACAAGGGAGGAAATGGCCCAAATGAGTGTGTCTTAAGTGGCTTTTACAGCTCTCTCATTCACGATGAATGAGTACTTTGCCATGAATTGTAATCATGAGCTGTGTAAAATTTTTCTGTACCATGTAGCAATTATGTACACTGTTAGGTGTTATTTTGAATCCAATCTGACAATCTCAGCCTTTTAATTGGGATTTTTACACCATTTGTATTTAATGTATTTAATGATGGTTGAGTTTGTCTCTCATATTGTTATTTCCCATCTAGTCTTTCTCTCTCCTTCCCTTTATCCTCTTTTTCTCCCTTTTTGGACTGAGGATTTGTGGCCCTTATTGTCTTGCTTGGTATTTACAGTTTATAATTGGTGTGCATCTTTTAACTTTCTGCAGTCTACCTTCATATAAGATGGCTCACTCTGTTCACACAGTGTAAGAACCTTACAACACATACCTTACCCTTTTGTTGCCTTGTGCTTGTAAGTCAGTCACATTTCTAAAACCTCACAATATGCTTTTAACTATTTTACACTGCATATTTCTGCTTTAAACAGTTCTTTTTAAAAGCCATTTAAAAAATAAGCAAAGCCTTTTTATTAACCCACCTATTTATCACTTCTGATACTCTTCATTCCTTTGTATAGATCCAGATTTCCATCTAGTGTAGTTTTCCTTTTGACATAAGGGCTTTAGTGTTTTTTCTAGTGTGTGCCTGCTGTTGATGATTGCATGTCTGCAGTGTCTTTCGGCTTTCTGGCTGAGGGGACGACTGCTCTGTTCTCTGCCCTGCAGACTCATTGCATCGGCCTTGCTGCATCTCCTTGGGAGAGTCCGCTGGGCGTTGTGGGGCTCCTGCTGGTTTGTGGCCTGGACACGTTCCCCTTGTGTTTGTCCTTCTTTTGTTTTTTAACCATTAAGGTGTGAGAGTAAATTTGGTCCTTGATAATCCATCTTTATCAAAAGTGGAAGAATAAGCATGTTTAGGTTTTTTGATACAGAAGTTACTTTTATTTTAGCAAGTTAAAGTAGTTAAAAGTAGCTCTTCCTGACGGTGTTCTGTTGGGAATAAAAGTTGCTCTGTTAATATCTTCTGTTTGAAATAGTTCTACAACATGGGCCCATGCTACATGTTCATTTCTTTTTAAAATACGAATTTTTAAACACCATCAGGGCAGTTGCATTGCAGATTTGATTAGAATATGAAGGCTTTTTTTTGTATGGCAGAATCTGGGAGGAGTTTCTCATGTTTTTCTCGCATAAGCAAAAACTGGAGCAAAGATAAACTGTGTTATTGTGAGTGATGAAAGGTTTACTTGTTTCAGAATATTTACATGCTTACTTTGTGCCAGGAAATATTCCTGGAGAGAAAGAAGAATCCTGCCCCATACCACCGTATCTTACTGTGGAGCACTAGACAATAAATAAAGACAGTAGCGAGTAGACATTAGGTGGTGATAGGTACTAATGGAGAAAAATAAATCGGGCTGGGATCAGAAGTGTCAGGAAATAAAAGATGTTTTGGAAACTCCTAGGTTTTGGGAAAGGCCCTTTATTCTTTGAGAATTGTTTAATTCCTAGACATCTGCCTGAGCTCTGAATTCCATCTCCAACCTCATCATTTTTCCATCAGTCTGTTCTCTTATTTCTAGAATTTTAACTTAATTATTTGTGGACTATTTACTTTCATTATATGACAGTGGCTAAATCTTTCTCTTCATAGAAACAAAACAGAAAAATCTTCATATTGCCTGTGTGCCCTCGTTAGTAATGTAAACTAATGGAGTTTCACACAGCTGCAATTTTGGAGAGCACGCCTGGCATTGATTATCTTCACTTCCTCAGGCATTGTGGTTTGGCTTCTCCACTCTCCTACCAAGGAAAATTGCCCTTGTGAGATGACCTGGGCCCCACCCAGCATGGTACAAACTGCTGTGTTCAGTGGGCATCTTCCAGCTCCTTCTTGCCCCTTTTGGCAGGGAGCAGTGGTTTAGTCATAACTTCAAACTGTTTGCCTTGTTCCTTTCAAATCGTTATGCTCGGGTCAGTGTTCAGCCATTCTTGCTTGGACTTCCATTTTGCCTCCTGAAGCTTAACCAGCTTTCTGGGCTTGCAGTTTGTACGTGCCTTTATTACAGTGATCATTTTAGCTCTTGGAAGGCATTTTAGCTCTTGGAATATTAGTTTTCCACTAATATTCTCATAGTCATTTTCCCAATGTGTAGCTTAGTACTTAGTACACAAATGTACTTAATAAATACTTGATTAATGAGTAAACTGTCCTAATGGTTTTTAGATTTCTGCTAGTAAATGAAGTCAGATACTTCGATTGGCTTTATCTTCATCTTTGCAGAATTGACCGTCAGTGTTTGACTTTGGTGTATTTATTCACAGGTTGGTAGTGTTCTGATTGAGCATATATTCTAAGACAGTGGTCACTGGTCCCCTCATTCTTTGTTTCTGTGGCCTCCACCCTGATGCTTCTAGAAGCAGTTAGAACAGGTCTGTAGATATGGCCTTGAGCTGTTCATAGCTTCTGGATTGAACGTAAGATTCTCCTGCAATTCTTTGTTCTACTCCAGAAACATACTTATGCTGCTTCAGACAGGCAAGGGGTACATTTGAGTTTCAGAGTGTTATAAGGAGTATTTCTGATGTCTCTGATAGTTGGTGTGGATGACTACAGCTCAGAGTCTGATGTGATTATTATGCCTTCAGCCCTGGACTTTGTCTCTCAAGATGAAATGTTGACGCCACTGGGAAGACTGGACAAGTATGCTGCAAGTGAGAACGTATTTAACAGGTTTGTGCATATCCTTTTCATTAATGTGGAAGCGGAAGGGTGGCTTGGTTAATTTTAATAGGAAAATAAAATTACCCAGCTTAAAGTAGGTATTAGCATGTGCAGTCTGAGTTGCCAGGTTTAACTAATAATCATAGTATGGCCTATATGGTAAATGTTTGTAGTATTTGCTTTTTTGCCACTGAGCATATTTCTGGTGTTGATGGACATTGCTTACTGGGGAGTACATTATTCCTGCAGCAGACGATCTCATCTACCTGCTGTGTCCGAGGTCGTGCTCAGGGCACAGTGCCACAGCAAAGGCTGGGCTTGTGCACTCCTCCGGGGCCGTTTCTCCAGCTGAGGGCTCCGACAGCTCTGTCAGATTTCCTGGGTGTGTTGGTTTGGCAGATATTTTTGCAAGGGGAAACAGTGTAATACAGGACACATATTTTATACGATTATTTATAATAGTCACCCAAAGAATGATACACAAGAGAGTGCAGGAAATCTGTCCACACACTATAGACCAGGAATCCAGCTGAGGGCCTGGATCTTGAGATAATGTCCTGCGTGAGTCCAGCTGAATACTTAGAGCCCATAATAATGCTTCCCATGAACCTAACTGGAGGCCCAGAGCCCACACCAACGTCTCGTGAGGGCCTGTTTCACGGATCTGTGCTGGAATGGCCCAGAGGTCAGTGGTGGAATCTAGGAAGTCTGTGCCAGCGGGATGAAGGATCTGTGCTAGCAGGCTGAGGGATCTACACTGGAGCCAGGAAGTGACACGGGAAGTAAGAACCAGAGCTCCCCTGAAAAGTACCACAGCCATCCTCAGCAACAGTGAGGTCCCGAGCTCCTCCAGTGGTGAAGACAACTGAGATCCCACCAGGAAAGCCAATGCAGCAAGTTTCTCCAGGAGACTGGCAGTGCACCATCTTCCCCTCCAGAGCCAGGAAGTGATGCTCAAAGTGAGGACTAGAACTCCCCCAAAGTGAACCGAAGCTGTTCTCAGTGCCAACAAGGTCCTGAGCTCCTCGGAGGATGAGAACAGCAGAGTTCATCAGGAGAGCGAGCATGACAAGCTCCACAACAGAACCAACAGCTCCTTACAACTTCCACCAGCTCCCAACAGCCTTTCTCTGCTCCCAGCAGCCTTCTCAGTTGCCAACAGCCTCACTTCTTCTCCAGGTCTGCCTCTTACGCTGCTGGCAACAATCCTCAGGTGGGCCTCCCACACCCAGCACCACACTTACTCAGTTCAGCTGGGGGTTGTAAGTCGACCACCAGTTGTTAATCCACTACAGTCTACCCCTGGTCAACTTGATAACCATACATATTTTCTTAATCCATAGTCTCTAGTGACAGATTTGTGAAAAGTTAACATGTCTTAATCTCTTCACATTTACATTAATACAAGAGTTACATATATACAGTTCTCCTTTTTTGCACTCATTCCTGCACCAAAAACAAAATATTTAAAGGGTGACCAAAATTCAAGGTTAAAACATAATACTTTGATTAACTTGATTACAAACATATCTAAAAACAACTTAAAAGCATATTAGAACTATTACAATCACAGTCCTTACTTCCCGTTAATTTTACAATGCATGGCAAGACTAAAGCTACCATTCCAACAATAGACTACATTGAAGTTTTTGTTTCTCCAACCGGGCAGTATCTAAACACAAGAAAAATGCAGACTAACTTCTGCCAAAGCACAGTATATATTACCTGGGATACAGCAGCCAATGCAGTCCTTCTTGGTTGAAGCCTCCTGAGCTTCATCATAATGGGTAGCATTTCCATCAGTGCTCTGATTTTCCAGGCTCCAATCTAGAGTTTCCAATATAGTTTGCAGCACACAGGGCTGCCTCTTTGGCCAGTCTCTCAAAACTATCCAAATTAATTCCAAAGGTTGTTAAGTCACATGGCTGGGCAACATCACAATAATAACCTCACTCTCCTGGTACCAATTTGTTTTTTTGTTTTTGTTTTTGTTTTTGTTTTTGTTTTTCTCCGGTACCGGGAACTGAACTCACGACCTTGCGCTTGCCAGGCAGGCGCTTTTTGCCGCTGAGCTAAATCCCCAGCCCCTCCTGGTACCAATTTTCAAGGGAAAACAATAATACAGGACACATATTTTATACGATTATTTATAATAGTCACCCAAAGAATGATACACAAGAGAGTGCAGGAAATCTGTCCACACACTATAGACCAGGAATCCTGCTGAGGGCCTGGATCCCGAGCTAATGTCTCTCATGAGTCCAGCTGAATACTTAGAGCCCATAACAGTGCCTCTTATGAATCCAACTGGAGGCCCAGAGCCCAGGACAACATCTCACGCAGCCCTGTTTCATGGATCTGCACTGGGAATGCCCAAAGGTCAGTGGTGGAATCTAGGAAGTCTGTGCCAGTGGGATGAAGGATCCGTGCTAGCAGGCTGAGGGATCTGCACTGGAGCCAGGAAGTGACACACAAAGTAAGGATCAGAGCTCCCCCAAAGGGAACCGAAGCTATTTGCAGTGCCAACAGGTCCTGAGCTCCTTGAAGGATGAAAACAGCCGACTTCAGGAAAGCCAGCATGACAAGCTCTTCCAACAGAACCAACAGGTCCTTATAGCTTCTACCAGCTCCCAAAAGCCTTTCTCAGCTCCCAGCAGTCTTCTCAGTTCCCAACAGCCTATTTTCTTCTCCAGATCTGCCTTTTATGCTGCAGGCAACAGTCCTCAGGTGGGCCTCCCACGCCCAGCACCACACTTACTCAGTTCTGCTGGGGGTTATAAGTTGACCACCAGTTATCAATCCACTACACTAGGAAATAATCTTCATTTAAATTTTTTTATTATAGTTGTACAAAATGCATACTAGTAAAGAAAACATTTTACATATTGAAAAATGAATGTATCTTCCCATTATGATAATCAAAGGATAGCTCTTTGAAGTAAATTTCCAGTAACTTCAGAAATTGTCAAATCAGCTTGATAAAGATAAAAAGTACTTTGGTAATACTTAATCTCCTCTGTAAAATCAATACTACCGTTGTCACTCAGGAAATTACAGTTGAATATATTTTATAACAAACCGTCTATAAAAAGGATCCTGTCTTTTACAATTCCGATTATAACTGTTGATGCCACTGAACTGTATACTTTTCTTTTTCTGTGCAGACAAATGGTGGCTCGGAGTTTGCTGGATACGTTGAGGGAAGTCTGTGATGATGAGAGAGACTGTGTTGCTGTTCTGGAAAGAATTAGCAGATTAGCTGATGATTCAGGTACATGTTTGTGCAGAGAAAGTGAATTTACTATTTCTGGAAAGGATTCTTTTACCAAATTTGTGTTTCCGGACTATTAGGAAAGCTACTGTGATACCAGCTATATCCCAAGTAAGTTATCAAGCCCAGTAATAACAAGAAACAGAAAAATCCTGTTACCAGCACCCTAACAGTGCATAGTAGGTGTAGTTTAATTGTAGAAATTTCTCATCAGAGAATGCTATTTTGCATCATGTATATTAATACTATATTTTAGGATTAATAGAAATTATAAAAATAATTTAGAATAAAAGAGGTGGCACTGTAGTCTTTTTAGGTAAATATAAAATGCTCTTGTTTTGTATGCCTTCTTTCTTGCAAAACTGTTAACCATTCATTTGTAAAACTAAAGCTGGTTGTCACTAAGCCAGAGGCAGGAGAACTTTCTTATAGGAAAGCTTGCTTTGAGCCTTAGAAAATGGTGATTTTCTAAGGGTTTTTGAAATGTTTTTTATTGTAAAACACAAAAACTTAAAAACACTTTGGCCAATATTATTTTAACCAATTTTATACCAGTACTTGATTTTACAGACAATCAGAAAATAAGTTTCAAAGCTTTTTTCTTTTTTTGTTGTTTTTTCTTTTAATTTATTTTAAAAATAAAACAAGGAAAACATTAACAGACGTCGATTTACAAAATAGCGTAAGAACAATGCAAGCAATACTGAATTACAGACAAAGTGATAGGAAATTAACAATGGTGGTTGTATTACATGTTGATATCTTCAAAGTGTTTTCTCAGGAAAACAAATATAGACATGCAAGATTGATCAAATAAGTAATCATTAACTGTTCCTTTTAATGAAACGATAGAAGTCAGTAGTACAACTATGTTAGCTATCCTGTATGTGCATACATACATAATTTCCCCTTCTTTTTTTACTCTTTTCCGTCACCCCAGTAGCTCTTTACTTTTGAACAGTTTCCTTTCGTTTTACAATGTCTGTCGTACCTCATAATTTTTGTTCACTCTTTCAGGTTCTTACACAATTGAGACAATACATTGCTTACACATGGAGATCTGATTTATTTCACTTACAAGTATAGTTTCTAGTTGTGACCATTTACCTGTAAAAGCCTTGAGTTTATCTTTCTTTATAGCTGAGTAATATTC